ATACTTTGACGATAATATTGGACAAACTTGGAAGACTTCATTTCTACGTATCAATTCCATTGGAGGTTCGTGAGAACCAAACATCTGTTAATAGTAGGATCATGATATTGGATCCTGGTGTGAGGATATTCGTGATGTGCTATAACTAGAAATGTACTTCGCGCAAAGCGATAAAACTATTATACCTGTGATTTCGTACGATTCTCATGAAATGACACCATACTTCGCATGAGATAAACTATATTTTTAATAAATTTTTAACATATATTTTAAAATGAATTTTTATCACACAAGACTCGTGAATTTACGTGACAAAGTCATGCGTGCAATATGTGAAATGTATGCTAGGTTTATCTGCGCGAGGTATGACCCTGTATGTTGTGTGATCAAGTGGGGTAAGGGAGACTTCAACTGCATCATAAGATTGTGTAAACATCATAACAAATTACAAAGCGATTTGTATATCAAAACCATGCTAACATGGTTGCATTATCATTTCAGGATGTTTTTGAAACACAAGGCATTTGAGGCATTGCACTTCTCAGACCTGTGGAAATTGCAGATGGGTGAATAAGAATCTCGGAGGAAGAGACTCATTTACGTTTCGTGTAAAATTAACATGAACAGAAACTTTAATGGGGCACATAATATTCTTTTGAAATACCTGTTCATCAAACCTCCTTCTGAAAAACTGATGTTAGAAACTTGAACCTGTTGTAGGGTGAATTACCCAAAGGTCAACCGTAGAATCTGATGTTTGTTTATCATTGTTTACTTAATGGTATAAGCTTATTAAAATATCCGCTTTACAATAACTGATAATATTAATGTATAGAATGTAAAAAATAAACATTTGCATTATATATATTTTAAAACTATTGAACATCAACTGCAAACATTGATTAAAGGGATAAAACCTTCAATCTATTAACTTTTAGTTTATTTTTATTAATTATTTTTATCTTCTAGCACGACGGTAATACGCATTCATTTTATTCAAACATTTTACTATAGGCTTTTTTCTGCGCCTTTTCCCTATTAGCAAGTCGTTGCTTGGCAACAACCAACTCTTTAGTAATGGCAGGATCATCTGGATTTAATTTGGCGGCTTCTTGCAAATCTTTAATTGCTTCTTCCTCATCCTTCATACCAACTTTTGCAGAACCACGTCTATATAATGCTTTAGCTCGAATTGTGGATGACAACACTTTCTCAGGCATTTCTAATACCACATTTGTGGCTTGAACGACATCACCCCATTCGTTGAATTTAAGCGAACATGCAGCTTTATTAAGGTAGCATGAAATTTTTAGTTCGTAAAATTCATTAGGAAGCTTTACTGAATCATCTTCATCATCAGAACCTGAATTCGCATCCAAATATCGAATAGCCTTAAATAAGAAGAATAATAATAAATACTCATTTATATTTAATCAAGAATATAAACGATAATTAGTTTTGTACCTTTGAATATTTTTTGGCCGCGATTTCGTATTCAGCCTTCTTGAAATAATCATTACCGATATCTTTTACTTTCTTTGCGATTTGAAGCAGATCGTTTTGTTCTAAGGACCCTTGATCCTCTATAAAAATTCATGTGAAAGTATATAAATATCTTTTTAATTAAATCTTTAGTATTAAAAATGAAATATTACCAGGCCAATCTTCGTACTCGTCTCCGTCCATTAGTTGCGGTATGCCGTCATCTTCACCTTCCTTTAATTCTCCGCAATCAGCAATCTTGATGGTTTTTACCGGACTCTCGCCTGCAGTATTAACAGCTTCAATGGCACGAACGATAGATTTACCTTTGATCACTTTACCAAAAACCACATGTTTTCCGTCCAAATGTTCAGCCTACAATTATTTGCAAAAAAACAATTTAACATAATTGACAAGACACAAATGAAGAAATTGGATACAATACTTTATTTGTAGTGATAAAAAATTGGGATCCATTGGTGTTAACACCGGCATTCGCCATCTACAAGAGAAAAGGTTGATCATGCTTATATTCAAAAGCCTCATCTAAACATTATTATAACATTAGCAATGATTGTGTGATGATGACTAAGTATTTTTTATATTTACCTTCGAATTTTTCACCATAAATGCTTTCACCTCCAGTACCATTTCCTTTGGTGAAATCACCCCCTTGGCACATAAAATTCTACTTTACAGAATAATTAAAGTTAGTCCTGTTACAAGAATTTTGTCAAAAATGCTACCAACCTTAATCACACGATGAAATATAGATCCTTTATAGTGCAATGGTATTCCTGATGCAGTATTACCCTTTTCTCCTATAAAAATAAATTGAGCCCACTTATAAGGTCATGTGATCTACTGAAATTCTAAGTTCGATTTTACCTGTAC